GCTCCCACCGTTGATTTTTCATTGATGTTCAAAGACCCTGAATGTCTCAATAGGAAGACATATCTTATGGTGCACCTTATGCCTTCCGCATCACACACGCCACCGCCACCGTCGTTGACTGGCCTGCTGAAAACACCGGCAAATAAGGACATCATCCCCACGCGAAGATAGGGCAAAGGCCCAGCCCATTCTAAGGCTGCGACCCAGTCTTCGGACGACGCAAAAAAAATCAAGAGAAAACCCTACACCAAGCTCGAACAGAAGATACCGGAGAGAGTAGATCGGTCACCAAAAACAAAAAATGTCTCATAACCCCTCAATCTTTACCCGGTTGGGAAAGAATGATGTCGAGCTGAATCTCAGGCAGAAACTCATAAGGGACCTATCCACCAATCGCGACTATGACGAGGTAGCAATCTTCAAAAAAAAGATTGATGAGCAAGAAACTCTGCAGAATACGAGGATAGGGCATCTTTGTCGCCTCTAATGTTTGACGCGACCGTGTTGTAGACACGACCTCACAACTATCATCCGACGTCAGTCCATCGCTAAAAAATATCAATATACTCCAAGTGGGGCTTTATAACAGCACCTCAGATCCAGACGCACACCTCGGACTGTATACGTCATGGTTGGACCTACACGGGGCTAAGATGGTAGTATTTGCCATACCCTCGTTCTATATCAATGTGGCAACAATTGAAGTTGACCTTCCGATCCCACTTTATCATATTTCAGGTCTATATGATCCCAAAAAAATCTATCACAAATATCGTCCAAGAAGCTAACGAGAGCTTGAAGGACTATGTTGCCCATTTCAACGAGCAGGTTCAGAACATAGAATCGTGCCACTAGGAGACGTTGTTGGTTCATCGTACTCGGTAGAAATCAAACTAAATGTTCAAATGGTCGTTGTGTTAGAACAAGTTGACCGCCTATCAAGAATTATTATCACAAGTTCAACAACACGTCATGGCTGAAGAATCCATGTCTGTGCTTACCTTTGAGATGTCTGTAGGCTCGACCACAAAAGAGAAAGAGATGAAAACAGGTCGGGACCCAGTGAAGGACACCCGACTGGCCCAAAGAAAGCAGTACCAAGAAGAGTTAACGACCAACCACACAAGTGTGTACGCTGCTACTGTGTACGAGGAGCTGAAAAACAAGGGGATCATCCTCGATCTGAAACCAATGAAAGCCAACAAGAGTCAACTCAACAAATCTAGATGATGCGCATATCATATATCTGTTGGACATAACACTGACCAGTGCTTCAGCTTAGGCTAAAACTGAATGGAGACTCGCAAATGAAGAAATCCACCACAAACTCTAAACGAATGAAAAAAGGCCAAAACAAGGAGAGCCCAGATGACGAAGAGGACGATGATACTGAAGCTAACCCAAAGAGGATGAGGAGACCCCCACCCGAGATCTTGACTTTCTCCTAAGGATTGCAAGAGGAGACAAACTCATCTCGTACCAGAAAGTGCATTCATGTCTGTCTCAAGAAGAACTCCGAGTAGGCCAACCACGAGCTTGGGGGACGTTATCCAAGCAGCTCCTCAACAGCAGCCGAGGAGGACTGGATGTTTCGAGGAGACAGGCCAAGGCTTACGCTAGGAGAGCATACAATGTCAGATAACAAATTAGGCGCACGGGACCTAGGACAACCAGTGTAATCAAACCAGCCCAGTCACTTTATCGAATTTAGATGCAGAGCTATTTGACCACTCACACTCGGATGCACTTGTACTGACGACATCGATCTACCACATACAGCGCACAAGATCTTGGTGGAATTGAGGCCAACGCAAGTGTGCTATACTTAAGCACATTCAAGAAGATATGAACATGCGATGACAAAATTCAAGGATTTGATGGTTGGGTTACCATTCTCGAAGGGCAAATCGCACTACCCATTCGATTTGGATGAAAGGGGTCGACATCGAAGACCATTTTGGATGAAAGGATAAATGTAGCAGGTCTAATGGTGACACGAAACAATCTTCTTCCACAATTGAGAGTTTTCCATGAAATATTAATTTCATCTTTCTTCAAACATCTAGTTCAAACTTCGGTCATAAGTTGAGTTTCTTCAAGCTAGTACTGAACAAGAAGATTTTGAAATTTTAAAATGGAAATTGTTGAAGTTTTTCTCTTTAGAATTTTGTTAGGTCTAATTCCTATTACTTTAGCTGAATTATTCATAACTGCATATTTATGTTTTTGTTTGTTAGATTTGCTTAATTTTGCACAATTCTTCCCCACTTTTTGCTTGAAAAAAAAATGATAAAAAAGCGTGGAAGATGTATTTATAGGTTGTTTGCGCTCAGATGAATTAAGTAGGTCACGTTCAGTCCATGTTAGCATAACTTGTGAAATTGACCGGAACTTCGACGGGTTTGGCTAGAATTGAGTAAAAATTATCAAAATACTAAGACCTTTTGGCTACTATTGTCAACTCGAAAAAATGGTAATTAAAATGGCGAACTCGTAAAAGTTACTGACTACATTTTATCGTAAAAGTTACTGACTACATTTTGCAATTTAACTAGAAGAATGTCGTGCATGTTCTTTTGCTATAAGTCAAATGGTATGATAAGATGAGGTAATTACATGATTGACCTTTTATTGTAAAATTGGATTGTTGAAAATGATTCCTTTTAGGCTGGAAAGATTAGTTGCGCAAATCTTGGATCTTGGTGACTGTCTTGAAAAGAATCAGTAACTCAAAGTTATGTGCCTAAAAGAATCAGTAATAATATGTGCCTAGCTCGATCGATTTGGGATTGTGTTAATGTTCCTCAGTCGAGCTGGTTCAAGAATTTCTTTTGTATGTTCTTAAACATTTTTTAAATTTAAGGATAAATCATTTTTGTATTTTATGTAGAGAATTATTGGGGTAAAAAAATATGACCTCAACATATAACTTACATTTTTACTATTTATGTGATTTTTATATAAACTATTTATTTATCTTATTTTATGTAAATTGGTATAAAAAAGTATATATATTACTTTTAATTCAGTTATTCCATTTTTATTTTTATTTTCCAAATCATCCAATGATTAACCCCATAACTTGGAGATACATGTCAATATCATAGCTAGGATAGCAATTGATTAAGAATCTATATATATATATAAAAAGAATTACTATTTTTTAAAAATAGTAGGTCAAATTCTGGTCAAATCTCAATTAGCATTAATTATATTCCATACTTAGTAACTTTTTTTTTTAAAAAAAAAAAATCAGTATTAAACACTACCCTAAAATTATGGTATTTGTTACTTTTCTTTCAAAAAAATCGTGCTACGTTAAAGAAACAATATTACATATCATAAATTTTTGGCTAAGTTAAGTGTTTTGTTTGGAAACTATTATATTTTAATTAAAACTAATTATGGTTGATTTAATCTTGAAATGGTACAACAATTTTATTTTTTTAATGTGCACCCTAAATTTATATATTTTGTGAATTTAATTTATGTAAATTTCGACTGATGCAAAAGTCAATTTTCTTTCTCTATTTTTATTAAAAAAACCGAATAAAATAAAATTAAGAATTTCGAATTAGGCAAAATATTATCACATATATCATTTACTAATTGCAACAAATCAATTATTTATTATAAAAATCGGATTGCATAGTCGGCATGACAATTTTGTAAAAGTCAAAATTCTTTTATTTTTTTATTAAAAAAATCTGTTTACCATACAATCGAGAATTTTGAATTAGACAAAACACTATAACATGTATCTTTACCTAATTGTAGCCGATCATGTTTATTAAAAAAAAATCGGATTACATAATAATCGGGCCATATTTCAAATTAAAATTTAAAAATCTATTATCATTTGATTACTACTTTCTTTAATTCTGACTTTTTTAAAACATAAAACAAAGTCATATAATATTAATTTTAAATTCAAAATGAAATTGGATTGTAACATCGTAAAAATTTGGATTTTGTTTAATTATCTAGAATATAAATTTGAAACTGATTGAATACATTTACAAAATAAATAATGATTTCATACACTCTTACAAAATATCGTATATATTCTGCTAAATAATTTAATCGATTTATTTAAGACTATCTACAATCTTAATATAATTTGTGGCGATAGACGATGTACCAAAAGACCAAACAAATAACTTTGTGTACAATGATGTGTTCAATAGGGCAATGTTATATGTACACCCCCTTTTAATAAATTACACAAAGAAAAGTGCTATATGTACACCCCTTTTTTACACTTGAGGGGGTGTACATATAGACACCCCCGTTCAATAATATATAACGTTACATTGTGTTTCATTTCAATATATGTATTTTACGTTCTTCCAATCATCCAAATTTAACTGCTTACCTTAATAAAACTAGCTCGTGCATCGCACAGGTACCACACTAGTTTTGTTTTAATCAATCAAGATTTATCTCATTTAAAATTAAAAATCAGACAAAAAGAAATAAAAAGAAAATCATTTAATTTTAATTTTTAGTTGCAATCCCACTAATGTAATTTCAAATTAATTAGTCATTATTATTTATTTTCCAATAAAAAAAAAAATTGCCCCTGTATTAATTGTAACCCGTGGCAGTTTATTTAGCACTCATAGTTGCAATTTATAAGAGTTGCATCAGTAGAAGAACAACCTTCAAAACGCACAAAACCAGATATTCCTTCAAATATATAATAATTTCAGATCAAAACGATTTGAAGAGAAAACCCTTTACACAAACTACATGTTCTTTATTCCCTCACAAACTGGCAAAAAAAACTTTACCAGCAGCACTTGAAACACCAACAGACAGCAACCACACACTACAAGCACTTCTTTATCAACACAAAAAACGACACGAGAAAAACGACCCGAATCCTAAAACCCCGCATCCCGTCTCATAATCCCTATCTGGGGCGATCACCCGAGAAGCTCCATTTTTTTTTTCCAATTATTTTCGTTTTTTCTGTGAAGCTGATGAAAGAAAAGTAACTATGTTCTTACAGTGTGTTCTCTGTTGCTGTCTCGTGTTTTCACAAATTCTTCGGGCTCGCCAAGTGTACATTCATCATCATCTTCATCTCTCACGAGATACTTGTCGACTCGTGCAGCAGCTTGTCTACCTTCGTTAATGGCCCACACCACCAATGATTGCCCGCGCCGACAATCACCAGCGGCAAAAACACCTTCGACATTCGTTGAAAAACGGCCATAATCAGCCTTGAAGTTCGACCGATTGTCTCGATCAAGTCCCAATTTATCAGCCAAAGTCTGAAAAGGAAAAAAAACACACACACACATAAATCAAACAATACAAACATCAGTAAAAAAATAAAAAATAAATAAGAAAAAAAAAAAACAAAGCTTTTTTCTATTAGTTATAATAGCAACTAACCTCTTCAGGCCCGAGGAATCCCATGGCCAGCAAGACTAAATCAGCTCCGATAATCTCCTCCGAGCCTTCGACTTCCTTGAACTGAAACTTTCCACTTTCGTCCTTCTCCCATTTGACACGCACAATTTCGAGTCCTTTCACGACTCCATTCTCGTCACCTATGAAACGCTTCGTCAGCACTTCGTAAGTCCTCGGATCTTTACCAAACTTGGTGGAAGCTTCTTGATGACCATAATCCACCCGGAATACTCGGGGCCACTACACAAGTTTATTTCTTTGTTAAATAAAATGAATTGAACTTTCTTCTGATATTATTATTTTTTATTACGAACCTGAGGCCAAGGGTTGCCTGGGGCACGGGTACGCGGAGGCTCGGGGAGAAGCTCGAGGTTTACAATGCTATTGCAGCCATGTCTAATGGAAGTCCCGATACAGTCAGTCCCGGTGTCACCTCCACCGATAACCACCACTTTCTTACCCTTAGCAGAAATGTACTTGCCGTCTTCAAGATTGCTATCGAGCAAGCTTTTCGTGTTCGCGTGAAGAAACTCCATGGCGAAATGGACTCCAGAAAGGTCTCGACCGGGAACAGGAAGATCCCTGCAAAAATTAGTCAATTCAGTAACCCACAAAAAAAAAAAAAAATAATATCTGAACTGTTCGATTCTAAAATTTTAGCAAACCTTGGTTTTGTGGCCCCCACAGCCAAGACAATTGCATCATGCTCCTTTCGGAGCCGATCGAGCGAGTACATGGGATCTCTGCCGACATTAGCGTTGACCACAAAGTTGACTCCCTCATCTCTCATGAGATCGACTCGTCTTTGAACAATATCAATTTTATCGGCTTTCATGTTCGGCACTCCATACATCATCAGACCACCGACTCGGTCAGCTCGCTCGAATACCGTCACGGAGTGACCCATCTTGTTTAGCTGATCGGCAGCAGCCAAACCAGCCGGCCCGCTTCCCACAATAGCAACTTTTTTTCTGAAAAATATAGAAAGTCGTTTTGGATATTTCGAAAAAAAAAATCATAAACCAAGAAATAGATGTGTGCAATGCATACCCAGTTCTCTTCGAGGGAGGTCGTGGGACCATCCATCCCTCTTTAAAAGCTTTATCGATAATCGAGCACTCGATACTCTTGATAGAAACGGGGTTTTCTATGATGCCGAGTACACAAGACCCTTCGCAAGGCGCAGGGCACACACGGCCAGTGAACTCCGGGAAGTTATTGGTCTCAAGAAGCCTGTCGAGTGCTTCACGCCACCGGTTTTGGTACACCAACTCGTTGAATTCGGGTATTTTATTCCCGAGAGGGCATCCAGAGTTCTCCTGAAGAAAATTTTTAAATAAGATTTTAAATCGACGCAGGCAAATGAAAGTAAAATGAGTAAAATAATGTTTAATATTTTCCTTACCTGATGACAAAAAGGAGTACCACAATCCATACAGCGAGCAGATTGCGTTTTCAATAGTGGCCCGGGCTTTAGCTCTTCCATGACCTCATTCCAATCGTTCATCCTAACATTGGGATCCCTATATGATATGCTCTCTCGCTCATATGCAACAAAACCTCGATGCTTGATTGCATCAGGAACCCTGGTCGGTCTCTTTGAAGATTTATCTTCTTCAACCTATTAATTTTGCAAATGCTGGTTATAAACTTTCAGCCGTTTTTCAGGTGTCATCAGTTAAAAAGAAAAGAAGAAAAATCACCTGACTGGAATTATTGTTTGCATTGTTGACTAATGATGCAGCTGCCAGCTTCTTGAGTTCCTCAAAAGCATCTTTCCCCATCAATTTATCCTCTTCTTGCACCTCAGCCTCTTTAGAAGCTGCTCTCGGAATCTCTTCCGCCTTGTTGGTTGCTAGAACCTGCTTGTAGTCACGTGGGAAGACCTTGACGAACATTGGCAAGAGGACATCGAAATCGGCGAGCACATTCTTCGCGAGCTGGCTGCCCGTGTGGCGCTGGTGCTGCTGTATCATCATCCTGAGTGTCAACACATCTTCTTCCTCCTCGACCGGGTCGAGATCCACCAGCTCCGCATTGCACCTCGACCGGAAAGTCGAGTCGGCATCGAGGACATACGCTATTCCCCCGCTCATCCCCGCGGCGAAATTCCTACCCGTCCGACCCAAAACGACGACGGTCCCACCCGTCATGTACTCGCATCCATGGTCCCCAACTCCTTCAACAACAGCCCTAGCGCCCGAGTTCCTCACGGCAAACCTCTCGGCCGCCATCCCATTGAAATAAGCCTCCCCGCTCGTGGCCCCGTAGAGCGCAACATTACCAATGACGATATTGTCCTTGGGGTCGAACCTGCTGCCCCTCGGCGGGTACACGACAATCCTCCCGCCCGAAAGTCCCTTTCCGACGTAATCATTGCTGTCTCCCTCGAGCTCGAGGGTGATGCCTGGGCACAGAAAGGCCCCGAGGCTCTGCC